TCAGGGTGTATCCCACAGGATCAGGGGTGTATCCCATAGGATCAGGGGGTGCCGGGGGGGTCAGTAGGTACCGATGATCCTGCCCACGGCCCTGCCGGGCACTCGCAGCTCCTCGGCCACGGGGGCACATTGGGCCACGAGGCTCAGCACGGCCGCCTTGGCCCGGCACGCGCAGGCCGGGGACCCCCAGATCTGCACCAGGGCCCCCTCCTCGGGGTCCTCCCCCTCCTCAGCCTCCCGCACCGCGATCTCCGCACCCGTCTCCCGCCGCAGCTGCCGGGAAAACGGGGGGGAAACGGGAAAAAGGGTGTCCCCAGTGCTCCCAGGGTGTCCCACACTGGGAAAAGGGTGTCCCAGTGCTCCCAGTGCTCCCAGGGTGTCCCACACTGGGAAAAGGGTGTCCCAGGGCTCCCAGTGCCCCCCTCCAGCCCCAGGGTGGTGTCCCAGTGCTCCCAGTGCCCCCAGGGTGGCCCACACCGGGAAAAGGGTGTCCCAGTGCTCCCAGTACTGCCCTCCAGCACCAGGGGGGTGTCCCAGTGCTCCCAGTACCCCCAGGGTGTCCCACACCGGGAAAAGGGGTGTCCCAGTGCTCCCAGTACCCCCCTCCAGCCCCAGGGGGGTGTCCCAGTGCTCCCAGTACCCCCAGGATGTCCCCACTGCTCCCAGGGTGTCCCACACCAGGAAAAGGGTGTCCCAGTGCTCCCAGTGCCCCCAGGGTGTCTCCCACACCAGTAAAAGGGTGTCCCCAGTGCCCCCAGTACTGCCCTCCAGCCCCAGGGTGTCCCACACCAGGAAAAGGGGTGTCCCCAGTGCTCCCAGTGCCCCCAGGGTGTCCCACACGGGGAAAAGGGGTGTCCCAGTGCTCCCAGGGTGTCCCACACCAGGAAAAGGGGTGTCCCAGTGCTCCCAGTACCCCCCTCCAGCCCCAGGGGGGTGTCCCAGTGCTCCCAGTACCCCCAGGATGTCCCAAGTGCTCCCAGGGTGTCCCACACCGGGAAAAAGGGGTGTCCCAGTGCTCCCAGGGTGTCCCACACCAGTAAAAGGGTGTCCCAGTGCTCCCAGTACCCTCCTCCAGCCCCAGGGGGGTGTCCCAGTGCTCCCAGGGTGTCCCACACCAGTAAAAGGGTGTCCCCAGTGCCCCCAGTACCCCCCTCCAGCCCCAGGGTGTCCCACACCAGGAAAAGGGGTGTCCCAGTGCTCCCAGGGTGTCCCACACTGGGAAAAGGGGTGTCCCCAGTGCTCCCAGTAACCCCCTCCAGCCCCAGGGGGGTGTCCCAGTGCTCCCAGTACTGCCCTCCAGCCCCAGGGTGGTGTCTCCAGTGCTCCCACTGCTCCCAGGGTGTCCCACAGCAGGAAAAGGGTGTCCCAGTGCTCCCAGTGCCCCCAGGGTGTCCCACACCGGGAAAAGGGGTGTTCCCAGTGCCCCCAGTACCCCCCTCCAGCCCCAGGGGGGTGTCCCAGTGCTCCCAGTACTGCCCTCCAGCCCTAAGGTGCCCCACACCAGGAAAAGGGTGTCCCAGTGCTCCCAGTACCCCCCTCCAGCCCCAGGGGGGTGTCCCACATCAGGAAAAGGGGTGTCCCAGTGCTCCCAGTACCCCCCCAGCCTCAGAGTGGTGTCCCAGTGCTCCCAGTACCCCCAGGGTGTCCCACACCAGGAAAAGGGGTGTCCCAGTGCTCCCAGTATCCCCAGTATCACACCCACCTGGTTGATGGTGGTCCCACACCGGGATCTGGGGTGTCCCAGTGCTCCCAGTGCTCCCAGTGCTCCCAGTATCACACCCACCTGGTTGATGCTGGTCCCACACCGGGATCTGGGGTGTCCCAGTGCTCCCAGTATCCCCAGTATCCCCAGTATCACACCCACCTGGTTGATGGTGGTCCCACACTGGGATTTGGGGTGTCCCAGTGCTCCCAGTGCTCCCAGTATCCCCAGTATCACAC